CTGCCATGAGTCTATGGGTGAAAGTGTGACCAGCATGGGAGCACTTAATTCCGAACCCTGGTTTATTAAACATTTTTTCTTGAGATAACAGTTCTTAATTATTAATATGTGAGAAACTATAACATCATGTATTACAGCCAATAATGGCTAAAAAATAACATCAACCTATTGACATCGCTAGGAGTCAAATTGTCAAAGTTTGTGTCCTTCGATGATGTTTTAACTGATATTAGAATGAAACGTAGATTAAAGTCTTTTCATTACATTGAATACTAGTGATTGTCAAGTGCTATCAATAGGGAATGGTGGGAGGGAATTATTTATCCTTGTGATCTTAATTACTGTAATAAATCACTGAACCGAAGCAGGCATGCTAAGCACAGTTTGATTGACACAGAGAAAGAACAGCTGTGATTGGACAATAATTGGCTGCACGTGCAATCAATGCAAGCTTATCTGGCCTTTGTGCTCTTACTATTATTAGCACTTGACAATTGTTTTCTGTTTACTTTGCCCTTATATGCTAGTAGTTTCATCATTAACTATAGTTTATAATTGATACATTTGCTTTGTTATTCGATTGTTCAATTTCAAATAAATAACTACGATTCCAAGCAGAAATCCTACGATGCAGAAGAAGAACAGAGATATCAAGGTGAAACGAGTAACGCACTCATCAGACCGCCCTCCCGCTATACCTCTAAGTGACCTATAGGAATTGTTTTGGCCATGCAGTGCATAATTATTTTGATTTGTAAAGATATGCAGAATAACAGCTTGGGTAAGTAAATATCGCGTCACCTTTTGTATTCATTATTTACATTGTGGAAGCATCTCAACTAGCTTTTATTTATGTGTGAACCCTTTTTTAAGAGTGGACTATGGTATTGGCTTGTAATTCGTATGAGGAACTGATATTTCAGTGAAAAATGTTACACTAACTCTTAGAATACTAGATGATTTTTGAAAGAATCATAAATGTAATATTATGATTCTAAAATCATATTTATTATA